CTGGGGAAGAGAGGCCTGGCCACAGCAGCCTCTCTGCTGGGTGGCCCCCTGAGAAAGGTGCTCTGAGCTGACCGTCACAGCTCAGTAATGCATTTAGCAAACACTTCCTGAACACTGACTTTCAAGGCAAGGAGTAGGAGGAGGTGGGTGGCCCTCGTTGCCACCCTTATAGGGATCCTAGGCCAGGATGGAGTCACACTTATAAATAAGACTCTGCTGCAGCTTGAGAACGTTCTGTAGGGCACTCTGCCAACCCCGACTCACATCACGGTCACCTGAGACTCTTCCAAAAGTGCCACTTTGGGCCAGCTCTGATTCAGTCACTTCCTGACAACTGCCTCAGGCAGTGACTGGTGAATAAAAATTATGTTCCACTTTTTCAAGCTTTAACTCTGGGCCATGCACTGTTTTACAAATTATTAACTCATCAGAGGAAAGTGGCAAGCATTGTCATTATTCCCACTTACATGTGGGGAAACTGAGGCACAGACAGGGTGACATGCCTAAACTATCAGGTTGCAGAGCGTGGATCTTAACCCAGGAGGAATGGCTCCGAGGCCAAAGGCAACCTGGAGAGGCACCTGAAGATTATTCCCGCTGGCCAAGGGCTCCCGAAGGTCCCCTAGTCTCCCAGGACCCTGATTCTGGTTCTTTCCTGCCTTAGTAATTTGACAAAGACGTGCACATTTCAGGTCTGTTGGGATGCTCACAAGCAGAAGAGTTCTCCCAATCTGTTGAGTTCGTCTGTGACATGAACCAGCTCAGGGAACTTAAGCTTAGGGACTTGGAAAGACAGGCATTTCCTGCCACTGAGACAATACCTTGACCTTTTCATGTGCAGATAAAGTTAGGGAAAATTCAACACTGACAGTGATTTGAAGTCTTGGGAAACTGAGTCAGTGAGCAAATGGATAGTACCCACTTGGCTGGGCTGCATAAAAGCAAGCATAGTTATAGGCCTGCTGTGACCTGTCCACACATAACTAGCCAGCCAGTGTCCTGTGGAATCCTTTTGGGACTTAGCAACAGTGAACTCTGGTGAGGCCCCTCCCAGTGGATAGCTTCCCCAGCATCCTCTTGGGTGGCTTCATATCAAGTTCTGAGCACCTCTTATAGATGGCTTCTGTTATCCCAGATAGTGAACTTCCGGAAGTTCTTCTAGTGCTGCACCTTGGCGACTTCTCTGCACTGGTGAGTCATGGGCATACCCTCTCCAATGTCTGGATGGTTTCCCCGGCAGGCAGGAACTGTTCCTTACATCTGCCATTCATGTAGTTTTATACTCCTCTTGATTTCTTACAAGTCAGTCCTGTGTCATGTCTTACTCGGTAGCAATTCATTTTAGTGAACTTACCCTGTTCAAATCACTGTGTGATTTTAGTCTTCTGTTTGGATCTGAACTGACACAAGAACCATAAGAACCACTTCATTGCTGGCCTTTGTCCAGGCTCTTCTCCTGGCTTGTTTCATCTGGCTAACATCGTACAGTGTTATGAGCACAGATCCTAGAGTCAGGGGGTCCCATGCCTTAGAGTGGTTCATGGGAAGCCACTTAACCTCTCTCTACCTTGATCTTCTTCTGTGCAAAATGGAGATTTCTTAGTCCAGTTGGCTGCTATTTCAAAATCCCATAGGCTGGGTAATTTGTAAACAGCAGAAATGTTTGACTTACAATTCTGGAGGCTAGGAAGTCCACAATTAAGGGGGCAGCAGATTTGGTGTCTGGTGAGGACCTGCTTCTCATAGATGGTGCCTTCTAGTGTCTGCAAATGGTGCGAGAGGCAGAAGTTCTTTGGTCCTTTTTTATAAGGGCACTAATTCCATTCTGTACCCATGGCTTATCACCTCCCTAGTGCCCTTACCGCTTACTGTTATCACCTGGGGGATTAGGTTTCAATGTATGAATTTTGGAGGACACATTTAGACACCAACAGGGGATAACAGGATTATTGTGGGGATTATGTGAGCTAATGTATGTAAAGAACTTTATTATACACCTTATACATGTACTGAGTATTATTTTCTTGATTTCTTTCAATTACTCGTAATGGTTTTGGCAACAGGGTTGCCTTTCCTAGGAAGTCCTCCCTGACCTCCCATCCCAGGCATGGCAGAGTTAGGTGCCCTCTTCCATGCCCCCTCATACACTGCACTGATCTTACGTGTTGTCACCGCAGGTGTGCTTATCAGAAAGTCTCTTTGGTAGGATTGAGAGCTAACTGAGGGCAGGGGTGTGGCCCCAGGAGCTCACAGTGTACCTGCCTGAGAGAGGAACCAAGTTAGTTGAGGTCCTCTGAGACTAGACACAAGACAGGAATAATGAGAAAGAGCTGCATTGGGGAAATGCCTGTGAAGGACAGAGGGAGGGGATAGAAAGGGGAAGATTGGAAGATCCTCTGACACCTGTAGAGAAGGGTCTCCGACATCAGAAGAGTTCTAAGAAAGCCTTTATCAGGCCATTGGGGAGTCCTCAAGCTACAGTCTCATCTGCAGTGGTGCTGCCACCGTGCCTAGTCACTGGTTGAAAGCAGCCCAAGGCAGCATGGCCTTAGAGTGAATGTGGTGGTGGACCTAGAGAAACACAGCTGGGGTTGTCAGTCAAGTCTGCTCCTGCAGCAGGTCTGAGCAATGCATTTTCATGGTTGCTATAGTTATAGACAGAAGGTTGGTCACATCCCAAGAATACAAGGCCAGAAGCTGGGATGCAGAATCTGGCACCTTGATATAGAAAGGAGGAGGAGGTCCAGGACCCTCTAAGCATGCCTTTACATATACACTCATGCAGACACACACACACAAATATATAGCGTTAAGTCCCTACCGCTTAAATGAATAAAATCATTCAAGATCCTACTATAACAGAATTACTTTCAATTTTGTGAATTTCTTACCATGTTTACATCATTAAATTCATCATGGAGGTAGTACTTAGTATTTTTTTTAAAGATTTGATATTTATAACTAATATTTCCCCAAGTTCCTACCATAGTTTTCATAATTATACTTTTTAGTGGCTAAATAATTCATTATTTCCTAAGTCATTGATGTTCAACATTTCCATTGTTTCTATTTAAAAAATAGAAACAAAAAATATACTTATTGTACATCTTTGGACATATACTATTTAATGTTTTTTGGGTTGTAACCCTGGAATAAATTTCTAGATTTGAAGTTACTGTGTCAAAAGATACAGCTTTATGTTTTTTTTTAATCAAGTTTTTCCACATTGCTTCCTAAAAGTATTTTATCAATTAGTAATTTATGTTAGTTATCTACTTACTGCCTAACAGGTTGTCACAAAAGGAAGTAACTTACTACAACTTGCATTCATTGCCTCACTGTTTCTACCTGTCAGGGATCCAGACACAGCTTAGCTGTGTTCTCTGCTTCCAAGTCTCTCATAAGCTTCAGTGAAGGTGTTGGCTGAGGCTAAGGTCTCATCTGAAAGCTGAACCTGAGGATTCTCTTCCAAGCTCACGATTACTGATAGTTCCTTGTGGGCTGTTGGACTGAGGTTCTCAGCTTTTACGTGGCTATTGGTCAGAGGCCACCCTGCTGTGGTTTCTTACCATCTGGGCCTCTCCAACATGGCAACTTGCTTCATCAAGACATGCAACTCAAGGAGACAGAAATTGGCAAGACAGAAGACAGTCTTTTGTAACTTCATCATAGCAATGGCATACTCTCTGTTAGTCAGCTTCCTATTACTATAACAAATACCTGAGATAATCAACTTGAAAAGAGAAAAAGGTTATTTGGGCTCACAGTTTTGGAGGTTCTAGTCTATGGCCCCATTGTTTTTAGGTCTGTGTTGAGGCAGTCCTTTATGGCAGAAGTGCATGGTGGAGCAAAACTTCTCATCTCATGGTCAGGGAGCTAAAGAGGGAAAGAGGAAGGGACTGGGGTCCCACTATCTCCTTCAAGGCATAGCTCCAGTGGCCCAAAGATCTCCCATCGCTTAAAGGTTTCACTATCCTGGGGACCAAACTGTTAACACTTTCAGGGCTATTCCAGATTTAAACTACAGCATCCTCAGTGTTGTCATATTGTATTGCTTAGAACCAAAGGGGGCAAGGAGAGTTTACAGAAGGCTAAGAACAGCATGACCAGGTACCACTGGCAGCCATCTTGAAGGTCATCTACCATGTCACCAAGTGTATATGCTTGTATCAATTTTACCACAGCTTCAGTAACTAAATGTTCCAGTGTTTAAATATGACTAATATAATTGGAGTAAAAGACCATCTCTTACCTCAGTGCACTCTTCCACAGCATAGGGCCATCTGTGGTTTGTTCTTGGTTGCTGCTAAGTAATTTCCCAAAGGTATCAACTGATAGCAACCTAAAGGATTGCCCTGACTGGGTTTTGAAATGATAGACAGTAGAGGTATATCGGGTGGCAATAATGCCTGAGAGGGACTGATTCTCAAAGATTTACTAGTATTGGGGCAGCAGCTCCAAGACCTGAATACCCTGGTACTTGCGTCACTTAAAAGTACTAAAATACATATTATACTCCCCAGGTTTCACATGCTGCAATGGCTTCTGTGTGGTATGCCCAGCTCCTGGCATGGCTGGGTGGATTCTGCATTGTGGACACTGGTGGGGACAGAAGTAGTAGGGCCAGCTAGGGTTGTGGTAGACAGAGCCTAGAGCCAATACCAATGTCATGATTCTGGGACTTGGTTCCCTATATTCTGGCTGTATCTGGATGTGCCCATGGGGGCAAAGGGGTAACACACACACACGCGCGCGTGAGCCAAGGTTTTGGGGATGGGATATATGTAAAGCATGTGTGAAGATTAGGAAGAGCCCATGAGTAGAGACAAAGATTGTAACTTGAAGTAGAGACAAGTAGACAGCCGCTCCAGGGACTTGCTCTCTTCCATACTGAGCTACCTTCCTGTTTAGTCTGTTTTCTATTGCTATAATACAGCACCTGAGGCTGGTTCATTGTAAAAAAGAAAGATTGCAGCACCAGCTTCTGCTAATGTCTGGCAAAGACTTTATGGAGGATGGCATTCAATGGTGGGAGCACATATAAGGAGAGATCGCAGGATGAGACAGAAAGCCAGTGGGGAAGGCAGTCTCACTCTTTTTATAACAATTCATGCCAGGCATGGTAGCACATGCCTATAGTACTAGTTATGTGAGAGGCTGAACTGGATCACTTGAGCATGAGTATCAGACCAGCCTAGGCAATATAGTAAGACTTCTCAAAAACAAACCAAAAATATAACTTGCTATTGCCAGAGCGTATTTCTCAAGACCAGCATTAATTCTGAGGGTGACGTCCCCAACAACCTCCCTCTAGGTTCCTACCACTTAAAGATTCTGGTACTACTTAACACTGCTACATCGAGGCCAACTTACACTTTCAAACCTTAGCACTTACCTTACTGTTGGACAGATCATCAGGATCTGATGCTGCCATTTTAGTTTCTGCCAAGATTAAGACTAGATAGAGGGGAGTGACAAAAACTCATGTTCAAACTCCAAACCGCATTTCTCCAGCCAAGAAGCAGGTGGCCCACATGGCCTTATGGTCCTTACCGCTCAGCAGCAGAGGCAGCGTGATATCCCAAAGAGCCCTGGGAATCTGTATTTGCCAGGGAGGTGACTCATTCACCCTGTCACTATCTCACTCATCTGTTTTTCAAGCCCACACCCTGTGGTGTCCTAGGCACCAAGGACTTGCAGATTGGCTGAGAACACTGAGCTCCAGCTCAGTTCCCAGCAGTGTATGTCATGCCCACCACATCCTTCAGTCTTACCTGGCTCACTCTCCTCCCAGGAACGATCTGCCACCACTGAGTGCTATTCCCTGGGTGCTGCCTAATCCTTTTTCCTTGAGTTACACTGGTACTGGGCTTGAATTCTTCAAAACTCTTAAAGAGAAAACATAATTTCCAATGAAAAAGATGACTCCTGACCAATAATCAAAGCAGGGGATCTATTCTATCTACCACTGAGGGTTCAAGGAAAACAAGCAGGAGGAAGATACAGCCCTCATGGGTCCCAAGTGTGACACAATGTCCTGTTCACTGCCCTTTGTGAGCCAAGTTCCCTCCACCTAATGCCCCTTTCCGCTCCAAGCCCTCACCATGCTCTGTGCTGCAGGAGATCTGCTGCTTTGGACTGTCTCAGAGGAGGCTGTTTGGCAATGGCTTGCTCCTGCCATGTTCCCAGAAAACTTCCCTGTCCCTCAGGTCCAGGGGCTCTCCTGGTGCACCACTACCCCTTTTTGGTTTCTCCTGTCTGCACATGCCATCTGCATCCACAGGACCCTAGTGGTATCCCTCTCCCCTGCCAGGCCCACCTTAAAGCAGCCTCTGGCCTAACTTCACATCTTGGCCTGTTAAATCTTTTAACTCCACCACAGTGGAGGAAAAAATTGACATCTGACAGACATAACGGTTCTTCACTGCAGGAAAGGGTTGACATACTACAATCATCTTTGGTGGGAAGACCTGGCGTGACTCCCACAGTGCACTGGACCATACACAGACTAAGACAGAGTGATATGCTCTTTATTTATGTTGCTGTCTGCCAGGCACTCCTGTTCATGACTTCATACAACCCTACAATCCTTCGAGGTAGCTTGTATCCTTTCCACTTTACAGTTGAGGAAAGATTCATACAGGGACTTGCCCAAGGTCACCGAGTCTATAAGTGGTAGGTGAGGGCAGACTCTAGGCTGTTTAATTTCAAAGCTTGTCACTGTCCTGACTTTGGGCAGTGGGTGCAGAGGCACCAAAGGATTCCCCAGAGTCAATGGCTCAGTGGTGGCTGCACAAGTTGGGAATGTCCTGGTGATGGGCTCCTCAAGAGTGGCCTGGGTTGAGTGCCACCCTCCACACCTGCAGTACAGAGTCCCGGCGGGTGGTGTAGGGTAAATGTTTGATGCGGAACCAGTGTCTGGGGACGATGTTTCCACTAGGTGTATACAGCTTCTCCCCATATTTTCCCAAGAGGCTGCGCAGGGCCAGGTTGCCTGACAGAATCTTCTCATAGAATTCTACTCCACCCTGGGCGTAGGCTGCAGACAGGGATGCTGTGCGGCGGTCCAGCCAGCCTTCCAGAGCATGAGTGAGAGAATCTGTGGAGAAGGCATAGGCCACAAAGCCTGCCACTGCTGCCACCAAGTTGAAGGCAGCTCGTAAATTCATGGGGCCTCCATAGAGCCCCAGTGCATGCTTGGCACCCACACTCAGTGCCCAGGTTCCTGCCAGGCAAGCTGGGGCTGGCAGAGCTTGCAGGGCAGCTGCACCACTTTCCAGGTACACCACCTCCCTGGCCAAGGCAAACTTCTGGGCATCATGGGACAGGGTCAAGGAATCTCTCAGCCGGGTGCCTGCTGGGCTCCGCCAGTCCACTTTTTGCCCATGTATGACCACAGGATGGTCAGTGTTGATTACCGAGCCACCCAGGAAGCTGGCAGGGATGCCCACCACAGCCCCAGCAGGGAGTCTCGGGAAGCCAGCACTCACAGGCTGGAAGGTGAAAGTGGTGAAAGGCTTGTAGCAGTGGCTTGAGGGGACACCCACATCCTGTAGCACCTCTTGGAAGAGACTCTGCAGCTGTGGGAAGAGAGGTGCTGGCTGGCCCTGAGGCCAGTACTGGTACAGCCACCGGACTACGGGATCTGGGAACAGGTGGTATGAGATTTGAGCTCCAAACAGGCATGCACAGGAACCCACCAAGAGGCCTGTCCGGTGTCTCTGTACAAAGGCTGCGGCCCGCCACAGGGGACCAGCCATGAGTACTGCCACTGCTGACAACCTGGCCAAGAAAAAGAGAAGTCAGACTGGTTTCCAGCTCTTCTTATGGCAGAACATCTTTCAAAGCCACTTTCTCCTCTTTTTTTTCTTCCCAGTACTAGGGATTGAACCCAGGTGTTAGGCAAGTGCTGTACCCATTCAGCTACATTCCAGGTACATCACTTTTTAAATTTTTTATTTTGGGAAATGGTCTTGCTAAATTGTGTAGGCAAGGCTCAAATTTGTGATACTCCTGCCTCAGCCTCCTTAACTAGCTGGGATTACAGGCGTGTGTCACCATGGGCAGGCCATATCCTTCTTAACTGAAGCAATACTGCACTATGGTTAGATCATAGGCTCTAGAGACAGACCACCTGGGTTAAAAGCATCATTTCTCCATCTGCCAAAAAGGCACATGACAATGGCAAAGGTGGCTACGATGAGTAAATAAAACATTTAGTGTTTGATATAGTAGCAGACATCCTCCTCACAATGGCTGTAATTAGTATTTTTATTCCCAAGGCTAAGTACCTAACTGCCTCACTCTACCCACCACTCATCACACAGTGAAGCTTTATAATCACTAACTTATAAATTAGTCACATGCTCAATTTATTGAATACTTACTACATGCTAGACAATCGAGAGTTTTCTCTATACAGCTGTCCCTCAGTATGTGCAAGGGTTTGGTTCTAGAACCCCCTGCACACATCAAACCCTGAGGATGCTCAATATATGTAAAGAACCAATGCTGTTGTATTTGCATATAACTTACAAACATTCCATTATACGTTTTAAGTCATCTCTAGATTACTTGTAATATGTGATACCTAATGTAAGTGCTATGTATATAGATATATTACATTTTTAGGGAATAATCACAGGAAATAAAAGCCTGCATGTCTAGTACAACCACAACTTTTCTTTCAAGTATTTTTGATTTTTGGTTGGTTAAATTCGTGGATGTGAGCCTATAGATATGAAGAGCCAACTGTATTAAGAAAAAAATCTGTAACAGTAATATACGCACTATATATATATATATGTATGTATATCCTTGTGTGTATATACATACACATACACACACCATAAATCTATAGAGTTGGCCCTCTATATCCACAAAGATTGCTCCTAGGATTTCCACAGATAACCAAAATCTGCAGATACTCAAGTCTCTTATACAAAATGGTTTAGTGGCCTCCTGGTGCTTACCACAGGCTGTGTTCTCACATTGTATGGAAAGAGGAGGCAAAGTAAACCTAACCCATATACACCTCTGCTCAGGCCCTGTGCCCAGTCTATATTGGGGTGAGGCATGGGGTGGGAGAAAAAAAATAAAAAGGCTTAGTAGCAAAAAAAAAAAAAAAAAAAAGATAAAGGCTTATTACCTACACACATCCTCCCATAAGTTTAAAATCATCTCTAGATTACTTATGGCTGCTACTACAATGTAAATCCTATGCCTATAATTTTATACTGTTTAGGAAATAATGACAAGTCTGCACATGTTCAGTACAGATGAATTTTTTCCCCCAAATATTTGCCATCTGATTGAGTCCCCAGAGGGTTGACTGGTGGTGTAACAACTGAATCCTCACAATCCCAAGACATACAGTATGACTGTCCCTATTTTAAAGCTGTGAAAACTGATGCACAGACAGTTTAAGTAAATTGACCAAAATCCCAAGTTAGTAAAGTGGCAGTGCTAAGGGCTGGATTGTGTCCCTCAAAATTCACATGTTGAAGGCTAAGTTCTCTGTGGCTGCGTTTGTAGACAGGGTCTTTAAAAAGTGAAGAAAACGAGGTTGTTAGGATAGTCTTTAATCCAATCTGACGGATATTGCCCACATCTTGTTCTTGGGCCTCTATCCTCCAGACAGAGAGAAAGTAAACTTCTGTTGCTTAGGCCATGGGGGTCTGTAATACTTTTGTTATGACAGCTTCGACAACCTTTAAAGTGCACGGTATTTGACCATGGGCTGTGGGGGATGTCCACAGCAAACTTCATTTTGGGAAAGTTGTTATGCTAAATTACAGACGTACAAGTTTCAATCATTATCAACTGCTGGCCAACACTTTCATTTCTACTCTCACCCACACCCCCTGGCCAGGTTCATTTTGAGACATTCTGGGCACCCTATCACCACCATTAAATTTTAGTTGAAACGTACGGTATTCCTATCTGAAAAAAAGCGTTATAATAAGCAATGAGTTCCGGCAAACAAGAACGCAGAGTACTTCAACTCCTGCTAACGTCACATCATTTATGTCTTTTTTTCCGATGAGGAAATAGGTTTGGAGAGGAAGGGTCCCGGCCAAAGCCCCAGCACGCCAAGTCGCGCTACGAGGTTGGCCTCGGAGGCGGTGCCGCGCAGCCCTTGGCTAGGCGAGGAGGGGTAGCTGGACACTGGCAGATGGGTCCCCGCCATACTTCCACCCCGGGCTCCGTAGGCTACTTTCGGTAGCATGAACTTGATACCTCTGGGAAGCTAGGGACCGAGGACGACATCCAGAGCCCATGCGAATGCCCACCCAACTCCAGGTGCTCACCTCCTCCGCAGAGGCCCGGGAAGCTACAACGCGTGCGCAGGACTGGATAGCCGCAAAGCACGTCGGTCAGGACTCTGGGGGCGGGGCCTTCGGGGGCGGGGCCTTCGGGGGCGGGGCCTTCGGGGCGGGGCCTTCGGGGCGGGGCCTTCGGGGCGGGGCAGGGAGCAATTTTAACTGTGTGGAGGGAGAAACTGCGGAGGATGACGCTGGGAGGAGCCTGCTTGGCTGATTAGGCAGCGCGGGAGGATTTTCCCAAACCTAGCTGCTTGGGGCTGTCTGCTGGGACGTTGGTCATCGGTTTAACTTCGGAAGGAAAGGCAGCCCCGCGTGTTTCACATGGTGGCTTATGGCAAAACCCCTGTCCAGGCACTGGCCGATTTGACTGCCTTTTCCAGTCTGAAAGCGCTTCGGGGCTCCGAGTTTGTACGATAACCACGTGCGTTGCAGTACACAGAGCTGCGTCACTTCTGTCACATCTGCTTCTCAACATTAATGTGAGGTAGATCAGGGATCGCTTGCCCGTGAGCCAGAGCCTGCTCTTTACCTGATTTTGTAAGTAAAGTTTTACAGGCATACAGCCACAAGCATTCCTTTTCAGGTTGTCTGCGACTGCTTTCCTGCTAGAAGAGCAGAGTGGCTGGGACCGAGACAGTCTGGCCCACCAAGTCTAAAATACTATCTGGCCCTTTGCAGAAAAAGCTTGCTGATCCTTGAAGTAGATTATCCCCATTTTACAGATGAAGAAACTGAGGACGGAACTTCGAGTTGGGGTGCCTAGCTGGTATGCACCTAGTACGCACAGGAGGAGGACGCCCCTGTGTGTTTCCCTTTCTGCAGTTCTGCCTCTCACAGGACTGGCTGCAGTGAATCAGTCCACCTGAGAAGATGGACTGTGCCTGAATCCCAGCTAACCCATCCCATTGGGGGCACCTTGAGGCCAGCACTTCCAGTCTCAAGACTGTAGCCCCTGGTGGCTGGAGAGGCAGAGAAGATCCTGCTGACTCAGGCTAGAACCTGGACTCCACGTGACTGCCCACCAGACTTGGGTCCAAAATCAGTCTTAGGGAGACTGCAGCCCAGGGCAGGAGACCTTGCCTGAGAGACCGGGAGACCTCCACCTCCCTGGACCTTATCTCTAAAATGAGGACAAAATAGCATTGCAAAGGGCCCTGTTGCACTCTACTCTTAGAAAATAACTGCCTAGACACTTGTATAGCTAAGGGGAGAGGATTCTTCAGGTCACTGCCCTCAAAATGAAGCTCTGACCTGGGGTCTCCCTTCAATCTTGGCCTTGAAAAACACCCTGTCTGTCACTTAGGGCTTCAGTGACTACAGGTAAACCTTGCAGTAGTGAAGAACCACAGATACTGGAGCCAGACTGCCTAGGGTTAAATCCCAGCTTCACTTCTTACTAACTGTGTGACCTGGGGCAAATTTTAACCTCTTTGGGCCTATGCTTTCATCTGTAATATGGGGATGAGCGTTCTACCTATCTTCTAGCATTGTGGGAATAAAATGAATTCATGTATGTATAATGTCCACTACAGTTTGTGCCATCTGGCTGGTACCTATTATTAAGTTCTTTTCTGCTTCTGAGACACTGAATTTGGCTGCTCAGTTGTTTGTATGTAAATTTGTGTGTCCTCAGCCAAATCCAGAATGGACATTCTACAGGGCAAATGATGTGGTTTAATTCAACAAATTGAGAGAATGAAAAACATGGAGGGAGGGGGGTCATTATGAGATGAAAGACATGAGAGACAGCAGATAAATGCAGTATTGGCTTCTGTTGGGAAACTGAAACAAACTAACTAAAAAAGACTCCTTTGAGACAACTGGAGAATTTTAAATAAGGATTGCAAATTTAAATAAGGAACCAGTCAACCAAAAACCAGGGGCATAGATGAAATTGAACAACATTGATAGAATGCTAGTCATTGCTGACAGTGCATGCAAGGTTCAGGGGGTCTCCCTTAAACCGTGTTCTACGTTTGTGTGTGTTTGGAAATTTCCATAATAAAATAGTTTTTAAAATGTATTTTAAAAATAGGCTGGTCAATTAGAGTTCATCAAAATGAAAAACTTTTTGTATCAAAGAACACTGTCATGAAAAGTAGAAATCCACAGACTGGGAGAAAATATTTGCAAATTATAGATATGATAAAGTCTCCAGAATATGTAAAGAACTCTTAACAACAAAAAGAGGCTAGTTAAAAAAGGATAAACAAGCCAGGGGTAGTGGCACATATGTGTAAACCCAAGTGCAGAGGCAGGAAGATTACGGGTTCAAGGCCAGACAAGGCTACATAGTGAGACGTCTGAAGGAAAAAAAAGTTTTTTCAATGAGGGAGACATTTCTCCAAAGATGATATACAAATAGCCAAAAAAACACACAAAGTACACTGGCCATTCTTAGTCACTAGGGAAATTCAAATTCAAACCATAATCACTAAGATGACACCTTCAGAAAAACAAAAAATAAATGAAGAATGTTGGTGAAGATGTGGAAAAACTGGAACCCTAATGTGTTGCTGTAGAAATTTAGAAAAATTCAACCACTGGAAAGAACCTTTTGGTGGTTCCTCAAAAAGTTAACTTACGGACTGGTGGAGCAACTCAAGTGGTAGAGTGCCTGTCTACCAAGGGTGAGTTCAAACCCCAGTACTCCCAAAACGAACAAACAAACAAACAAAAAAGTTAATTTACAATAACCATGTGAGTCAGCAATTCCTCTCCTAGGAATATACTAAGGAACTACACACAGGTACTGAAACAAACACTTGTGCACCAATGTTTACAGTATTGCTATTTACAATAACCAAAAGGTGGAAACAACTAAACTACTAACTATTGCTTGAATAAACAAAATAAGGCATATGGAATATTATTCAGCCATAAAAGGAATAAAGTACTAATACATACTGCACTATGGATGACCTTGAAAGCATGATGAGTGAAAGAAGCCAGACACAAGAGCCACATACGGTATGACTTTATTTGTATTAAAATTTTAGAATAGGCCAATCCATTGAGACAGAAAGTTTACTTGTGGTAGCCAAGGGACAGAGGAGGGAAAATGGGGAATGAAGCTAATAGATGTACGATTCCTTTTTGTGATGATGAAATGCTTTGGAATTACTATCAATTCAGTGTGTGTGTGTGTGTGTGTGCGCGCGCGCATGTGTGTGTGTGTGCGTGTGTGTGTGTGTGTTTCTGGGGAACATGAAAATGCTAGGCAAGCACCCTACTACTGAGCTACATCGCTGGCGTGTTTTGTATTAGAGAGAGTAGTGATGGCTGCATGGCATTAAATATACTAAAAGCCACCATTTTTACACTTTAAAATGGCTAAAATAATAAATTTAATGTAATCTTACCTCAATAACAAATGCATATATTTATATCCCTATATAAATATCTCTATCTCTGTATCTATAAAAGCATGTTGGCCAACCATACTGCTGAGCAGGTAGAACATTTATCGCTTATTCCATGAGGCACCTGGAAGGGTTATTTTTCAGGAATGAGGACGGAGAGCCCAGGGGATAAGTGAATATCTTGCTTGAGGCTGGGCTTCCCAGTTGAGAGTGTGTGGTCATTGTCACGTGTACTTGGGGGTCCAACCATCCCCAACAATTCCTCCCTTGCCCCTTCTGGATGTGTCAAACTCTGTCATTTATGCATCAGCTCCTACCCTGTGCCAAGTGATGGAGGTAAACCAGGGATAAGGATCAGACACAGCACTCAGATTGCTCCCTGATCAATAAAGCAGACCGATTAGCAAATCTATGTGGGCAAAGAATCCTTGTCGCTTTCCTCATAGGGCCACAAAGGAGAGAGTGGCCACTTCTCAGGGAGGTGCCTTTGTGTGTGAACTTGGGAAGACTCGTGGGAATTCATTGGTAAAGGGGGGCAGAGTCAGTGCTTTCCTTGTAGACACTGGGTCCCTCATTTCAGGTAGGTTGAGTGGGTCCCCTGTCAGCTCAGCCTGATAGTTGCCTGAGTGTGGGATTGGACAGAGCATAAAGGACAAGGGAAGAGCAGCCATAACAAGATGGGAAAGGCCCAAGAGGGAAGCTCCTTGGGTGACTCTGGGTTGAAGTAACAGGTTCTTAAAGCTGAGGTCTATATGGTCCCAAAGGCCTCCTTACAATCCTCCCAGTGTGAGGCCAGGGTGTGGTCAATGTCTAGCTCACAGGCTTCCAGGTAGATGACAGATAGTAATTTGCTGCTTCCACTTCATGGAATCCAAGAATGTCTGTGACAAATGTCTCACCTCTTCTCTTTTGCTGGGATTCTTCTGTTCAGGAATGTCCTACTCTGGGTCTAGGAGTGACACAGGCTAGAGTTAGGGAAAATTCATGACTCATGGAAAATATATGACTTACTATTGTATTTTGGATTAAACATTCCTCCCTTTCTCTGAGCCTTCTATTCAATTACAGTTGTCCACACCCTGGCTCAGACTACTCCGATCGCCCTCACCTGGCCTGGGGACCACCCAAGCTTCTCCCTACTCATTGATTATTGGATGAGAATTACAGGGTTCCTCCTTTCCCATAGGTCAGCATAAGTTTTAAAAGCACCTGGAGAAGAGATGCACACTGTCTCTGCTTCCAGCTTCCACCTGGGTCCACCATGCTCCCTTTTGTAATTCCCTTCCCTAACTTGTAATAAACTCCATTTATACCCACTTCCAAGTGGGACACAAAGAATTTGGAAGTCTTCTATCACAGTCTGCACCACTGCCATTAACAGGAGGGGTTGGGCTGACCCAGGGTGGGTTACCCCAGGCCAGGACAAGGGTTTGATCCTGCCAGAAAGCCACTGTCCTTCCTTCTTTTTTTAGCTGACCTTGATTCTGAACAGTACCCAGGAGTGCCCTGGGGGTGGTGAACCAAGGCCATGATTATGCCTAGGAATGATGCTCTTGAGCTGTAGGTCGGCCAGGTGTCTCAGGGGCAGATCTGACAGGCATGGCTTCTTTCTTCCTTCCTTATTTCTGCTGCTTGTGGGTTGGGTGAAATTTTCAGTAAGGGTTTGCT